TGCTTGTGCACTTACGATCTCACGTCCCCAATCTGCAGAATAACCTACCGTCAAATAACAACACGATAGGTCGTCGTCGTCGTCGTCGTCGTCGTCGTAGTAGTAGTAGTAGTAGTAGGAGGACTAGGAGGAGGAGGAAGTCGACGACGACGATGACGACGAAGACGTGGACGTGCCCGCGGAAAAGCTATCACACACAGGAACGTCCGATCTGAATGCGTAGTAAACATCCATGCTCGGCTCGTGTCAGTTCCCGGGGCTATTACAGTAACGCATCCTACTCACCAATCCTGGCTCGTCGCGGCATGCCTGGATTGCCGAAAGATCCACCAGATGCCAAACTATCCATCTCCCCAAGCTATATTCCCGAAGAGGGTTGGTTCCCCAAGGTTCATCAAGAAAACTTCTACTTTGGGCGAAGCTCAACTCTCTGGCAGAAAGTCGGTTGAGAAAGATGTTTCTGAGGAGTAGTTCAAATAGGGGTATTAGAGTCCCCGGTATAAGTACAATTAATTCATTTCCTGTTTGTAGGGTTGTGTAAGAAGAGGATAGCGTTACTGGGCTCAACATGTTCAACCATCAAAAAGCAAGATTCGCAGCATCTGCTTGCAGGCATGACTTTGGCTATTTGGGTGGAACCGGCTGGGCGATCTGCAGCGCACTCGTCTGCCAAACTGAACAGCATCTTGGCAAGAACCGGGAGGTACCATGATACCACGTTCGATGCACCATGCTTCTTGCTGCTTGGTAATGGCATTGCAGCTAGGCGCGGCTTTGCAAGCCGGCAGAGAGGGCAGAAAGAGAGAAAGAACTCCCTCACCTTGGCACCTTGGGCCTCCTGGGTGGGACCAGGACAGTGCGGGAGGCTTGGGCTCGGTCCACTGCCCGGGGGGGTGAGATTGGCCGAGCGTGAACTACCTCACTACAGTGTACCGTTGACAGGCGAGCGGGCGTCTCTGTCCTTTTCTACTCTCTACGCGTACTCGAGTACTAACTCCCTAGAACCCTGAGAGCGGCAACAGCAACATGCCATGCAGCTGTGTTACATGAGCTGTACATGGACTGATAGCACGGCAACAGGAGTGAAGTTATTTCAGGGGGGGATCCGCCTCCCCTATATCCTGAAAGAAAGAAAGAAAGCCCTCACCTCGTAACAAGAAAGACAAGAACGGAAGGCCCAGCGGGTTGGGGCAGCCCGAAGAACACACAGGATGATGCTGTGAGGGTACGACCTGTTTCTGCAAGTGAGCCAGCATGGTATCGGAAGCGACATGTCATCCGGGCTCGGGCACTGTCTTGAATCCAGCTGCTGGGGTTCTAGAGGGAGTTGTATTGTTGTGAGGGCCCGATGTGTGCTTTCAGTCTGCCATTTCTGCCAGTACAGCAGGGGTCCCGGAAAACCAGTAGCCTGTGCCTTGCCTCGACTTTGCATCGTAAGGAGCAGGTGGGACTTATGGGAATATCTTCAGCTGGTATGTACTGCAGCGGGGCTTTTGCAGTTCCTTATAGACCTCGTTTGCGCGTTCCTGCCTATGACTGCTACCCGCGACCTGGCCCAGTGCTCGTCGCGTTGCAGGCATTCTGTTTTACCGCGAGGGTAGAGCAGTGAGAAGAAGAACAAGAAGCCCTCCCTCGTTTGTGGATAGGGAAATGATACCTTGGCTGCCATGTCCCACACATCTCGCCCTACTGTAACCGACTCTGTGCCCATGGTCCTTTGCTAGGCACCTTAGTAGCGCCTGGTTAGTTTGGTTGCTAGCTCCTCAGCGGTGGGCGCCAGAAGTGGAGTAGAAGTCGTCTCACAGCTCTGTTGAGAAGGAGGCGATGCCAAGCTTGAGCTAAGTAACTTCGGTTGCGCTACTTTTTGAGTAGAGGCGGCTTACGAGGTTTCTAGTCGGGGTTGGCGTCGCGTCGGACCTCCGGAGTACAAACCATTGACTGCAGACTAATGCGGCGCACCTGGAAGGGGCGTTAGGCCTTCAGCGCTGGGAGAAGAAGAAGCGAGGGAGGGAGGGTTTGAGGGAAGAGAGAGAGAGAGAGAGAGAGATGGAGGCCCGGAGGGGAGCTTAGGCTCTCCTCCATAGCCCGAACGAAAGAAAGAAAGAAAGAAAAAGAGCTGGAGGGAGGGAGGGAGGGAGGAAGGGAGGGAGACAGAAAGCGTTGCTGTCCCATTTGCTGTCTTCAAACGCTGAGGCACCAAGATCTGGAGAAACTTCTTGGCGCCTTCTTTGACATCATGAGCAGCTACCTGTATGAAGCAGATAGAAGAACAACAACGAGCTGCCTTGTAGCAGACCGACTGAGGGTGGGACTGTCGAGTTCCACTTGCGCTGAATGGCCGCATCCACCGACAGGCGCACTCCCAGCCATATCGACACTGAACACGACATGGGTGTGTTCGCCCAGGTCCAGCGCAGCAATGCCGGACTGAAGGCACCCTGGCAAACACTGGCATAGAGTCCCAATTTTGAAGAGGTCTCTGGGCTGCTGCTTTTCCCCCATGCTCTGCACATCCCATCCAGTTGGGTTTTCTGTTTTGGCATACTGGCTTTCGGGAGCCTTCCTCTGCGATTAGC